ACCGGCACCCAGAACTCGGGGAAACACTTACTTACGTTTACTGGTTTATTATAAAGGATATTGATTGCAAAAGTTACAGATGAAGGGACATGCAGGGAGATGTATGGGGGAAGGGTCATGTAGCTTTCATGTCCGCCCTGGGTGTGCCACCCTTCAGGAACCTTTGTGTTTAGTTGTCTTGAAGACCCTGTCCTGTTGGGTTTTTATGGAAGCTTCATGACATCAGCATTCCTTCCCCAAGGGTATAAGATGGGACCCTCCATGAGAGTTTTGAGACCCACAATAAAAAAGGCAGGGGAACATTAAGCATGGAAGGAGGGCAAGAGAAAAGTCAGAGGCCTGCCCCTGAAGCCTAGCACTTTCAACATTATAATGAAAGACTGGAATAAAGGGTATGGGAGTTAAAGCCAGGAACGAAGGACGAAGACCAATATATATCATAGCATCAAAGTAAAATAACAGGCATACTTGTGTGGGTCATTTCTGGGTTCTCTGTTCTGTTCTGTCACTCTGTGTCTGTTCTTTTGCCCATACCACACTGTCTTGACTAGCTATGTGGTTAGCCTTCAGTCAGGTAATGGAATTCTTTCCACTTGATTCTTTTTCAAATGTTTTAGCTATTTTGGAGCTTTGCCTTCCATGTAAGTTTTATAATGAGTTTATATCTACAAAAATCCTTGCTGGGATCTTGATAGGAATTGTATTAATCAATAGAACAATTGGAGAGAATAACATCTTTACTGAGTCTTAGTATATTGCTAAGAACGTAATAAATATATTGCTATTTGTTTAGGGTTTTTTCTTTTTCTTTCTTTCTTTTTTATAAGTGGGTTGTCACGCTGTTGCCCAGGCTGGAGTGCAGTGGTGTCATCATAGCGCACTGCAGCCTCGAACTTCTGGACTCAAGCAATTCTCTCACCCCATTCTCTCTCTTTTTTTTTTTTTTTTTTTTTTTTTTTTTGAGGCAGAATCTCCCATCCTCTTGAATACCTGGACTACACAGGTACTTGCCACAAATCTCGGTGTTTTGTTATTTTTAGTGACATGGTCTTGTTGCCCAGGCTGGTCTGAAGCTCCTCGTCTCAAACTCCTGGCCTCAAGTGATCTTCCTGCCTCAGTCTCTTGTATTTGTTTAGATTTCTAATTTCTTTCATCAGTCTTTTGGAATTTTTAGCATACAGAGCCTACACATGTTTAGCTGAGTATATACTTAAATTATTTAATTTTCTATGGAGCAGTTGTAAATGGTATTGTTTAAAATTTCAGTTTCTACATGTTTATTGTTAATACATAGAACAGTAAATGATGATTAGGCACAGTGGCTCATGCTTTTTAATTCCAGCACTTTAGGAGGCCAAGGTGGGAGGATCACAAATATCAATAAATGTGGTTGATATTTGAGTGTTGATCTTGATCGCTTGCTGAACTCATTATCTCTAGAAATTTGTTTTGTAGATCCTCAGTAACATTTTAAGATTTGTTTTGAAGTGTTTTATTTTTTTTCTATTGTAATATATTCTTCTTCTATAATGACCAAATATTGTGGGGTTTTGGGATGAAGGCTGTTGAAATCCATATATCAATTTCATGCCCAATCACATTGATGATTTTTCTTATTCATAAATTTCTCTTTAGTTGATTCTCCTGAGTTTTATAGATAAAAGAGTCATATAATCTGCAACTAGTTATAGTTTACCTTTTTCTTTCCAATTTTTATACGCATTTTTTTTCTTATTTAATTATCTAAGACTTCCAGGATAGAGTTAAATAATGCTGGTCATAAATAATACTGTCCTTACTTCTCGCTTTAGACTCTTAGACTTGTTTGCTTTTTTTTTCCCAAGGCACTGCAAATAAAGTAAACTGCATAGTAGGAATTCATTTTATTTCAGTAGGTAGAATGCAAATAAAGTAAAATATATAGTAAATTTCAGGTCTCTAATGTGTTCTAGCATTGGGGTATTCTGCTTTGTTAAATTTATGGGAACCTGAAGGTCGACATAAATGCTTTTACTTCAACAATTCTGTTGTTGAAGTCTATATTATAGGCCTTTCTGCTTCCTATAGAGTGGTGAATATTGGATTTCTTTGTAGATTTTGCAGTACTTTTTATTTTCTTCATTCGTATTTTATCATACTTGTCAATTTAGAAAACACTGATAGGAATGTATATCGATCTCAAGATTTTCCTGGAAAGTTGATTTTATTTTAAGGAGGATCCTTAAAAAATTATAGGGGAAATCTTATTTCTTGTAATTTGATTTCTTTTTCTGAGATGATAATTATAAAACAATTCTAATTAATGGAGCATTTCCGTTTTTTATTTTTTGTTAAGAGACATGGTCTTCGTTACTCAGGCTGGAGTGTAGTAGTGCCAATAGAGCTCAGTGTAACCTCGAACTCATGGGCTCAAGTGAGCCTCCCACCTCAGCCTCTTGAGTAGCTTAGCTAGGACTACAGCCACCAGCCATATGCCACCACATCCAGCTAATTAAAAAAAAATATATGTGTGTGTGTGTGTGTGTGTGTGTGTAATTTTTTTTTTTTTTTTTTTTTTTTTTTTTGGTAGAGGTGGGTCTTGCTTTATTGCCCAAGCTAGTTTCAGACTGCTGGGCTCAAGTGATCCTCCTGCCACAGCTAGCCAAAGTGCTGGGATTACAGGTGTCAGCCACTGTGCCTGCCCGACCGTGCGTTTATAGTCTCATAAATGAGCAACGTTTCTCCATATATAGCTCCTGCTGATGAGAAGCTTGGTGTGGTGACCCTCCCTTCCCCCTCTCTCTCCTTCCCTCCCCTCCCCCTCCTTCCCTCCCTTCCCCCCTCCTCCTCCCTTCCTCCCCTTCCCCTCCCTTCTCCCCTACCTTTTCCTTTTCCTTTTCTTTTTCTGTATATAGTTCCTGCTGATAGAGAAGTTTGGTGTGGTGGTGTTTTTCTTTCCTTTTTTTTTTTTCCCCCCAAAGATAAGGTCTCGCTCTGTTGCCCAGGCTGGAGTACAGTGGCTAATCTTGGCTTGTTGTAACCTCCACCTCCTGGGCTCAAGTGATCCTCCCACCGTGGGCTCTCTAAGTGCCGGGATTACAGGCATGGGCCACTGTGCCCAACCTAGTGTGGTGATACTTCAAGAACACTTTACAAAGCTTTATTCTACTTGTTACAGTTTGAACATCCAGATCCTGACTCTGTAGTTTTCTTGTGATATAAACCAACTAACTTTAGAGTTCAATTTCTTATCTTTTACTCATCTCAGTCTTAATTTTGTTGAGCAGTGGAAAGCACATGAACTCTATGAGGTTCAGAAATATGGGTGTAACATAGCTGTTCCTTTTTTATCCTAATGACCTTGAATAAGTTATCCAATCTCTAATTCTCAGTTTCTTCATCTGTTGTTAGAGGACAATAGTACCTCAGAGGGCTGTATTTAAAGATGGTATGAAGTACCACATGTAAATTACTTGATACAGAATTTATTACCTTTGTTGATTCTCAGTAGATTTTTGCTGCCTCTCTCCTGAAACAAAATGAAATGGTGTTTGTGAATAGCTTTGTGAGCTTTAAATAATATAATTAAATAGAAGCCATTATTAGTATTGTTTCCTCTTTCAGAAATGGGCATAATTTATAATCTTAGTAGTATAATGTGCTTGGCTAGGTACATGCCCAGATTTGGTGATCCTTAGATTTTTGTTTGTTCTTGCCCTACATACTTTGAAAACTCTTTGAGAAATCCTACAGCAAACTCACATGATTTATGAAACCAACAGTTGACTATTCTTACTCTAATTCTGATTCTTTGACTAATTCTTAGTCTATGTATCCATATATATGAACGCTAAATCCACCTATTATCTTCTTTGTATAGTATCTAGGCTCTCCCACTTTGCCCTGCACCTCCTTTCCCCGCTGAGAACTTGGAACCGCATGGAATTTATTAGCTAGCATATTATCTTTTCCTGGTTTGGTATTTCTGGTTGGATTGGCTGTGATAATCCTTAATTGGATATTCAACGAGGTTTCTAAAATAAGCTTGTGTACCATGAGTTAAGAGGTAGAGTGCCAAGGACTCGTAAAGCTTGAACTCCTTGGACTTACTTGCTGCACTCCAGTTTAGAGAGAGATTAATAATTTCTGAAAATGTTCTTGCCACTTAAGAACATTGAAATGTTATCAAATATTAATTAAACATTTATATGCATAGCACTTTCTGGAAACCCAGATGGATGTAAAACGTGTACGTGTTGGTCCTGAGTTTCTTCCTTCTAGGGTAGTCTAGTTAGAGTTCAGAATAACTAAAAAAAAATTGAAATTTAAGACATTAAGCCTTTTGAATACAAAATATTATTGATAATGTGTGCTGTATAAATTTGAAGACTTTGTTTACTTTTTATACAGTATGGTGAATTTTGTTTTCCTTTACCTGTGTATTAGAAATAAAAATACCCTATAGGGTCATTGTGATGTTTAAATGAGATTGGGTATGTAAAGCCCACCTATAATATATAAACCTACATATATTCTTTCTAGTACAATTCTTTCTAATAATTCTTACAATTAGTATTTAGAATTCTAATTGTATATATTATATTCTTTTTTTAAATTAAACACGTAGTATGACATATGGTTAAAAAAAAAAATGCAGGCAGAACAAAGTAAGTATTCTTCTCACTTCAGACCCTAGGTTCTTCCCTGTGTTCTTCTGTACCAATAACATGGTTTTTAAATATTTTTCATTAATTATTCTAGTACATATGCACTTACATATAATTACATATTTTTATAACATGTAAGTGGGAACATAATATTCATGCTGACTTGTATCCTGTGTTTTTCATTTAAAAAGAGATTTTTGGTTATCTTCCCTGTCAAAAATGTAGCTTTTAAATACATTATTCTTTTATTATTATTGATTGCTGAGTATTCTTCATTTGGATATATAATAATATAATTGATATCTTCCCCCAGCACTCCTTTAATGCATTTTTTCAAAACTTTTATCTTCTTAGGATCAACTCACTCTCCTGAAAGTCATTCTCCCAAGAAGGAGGGACAGAAAGACAGAGCTGTTTGTAAGAAAGGCTTGGGTATCCCATGAACGAGCCAACAGAAAACCGATTGGGGTGCAGCAGGACTCCAGAGCCAGATATAAGGCTCAGAAAAGGGCACCAACTTGATGGTACAAGGAGAGGTGATAATGACAGCCACCAAGGAGATTTGGAGCCTATGTTAGAGGCATCTGTTGTATCTTCCCATGATAAAAAAGTAAGTTGGAAGAGTGGTAAACAAAGGAAAAAGTTTGGAGGATGTGACAGAGGGGAAGACACGAAAAAAAAAAAGTATGGGTCCATTGCTGGAGGGAGGATGGGGTGGTAAGAAGGAAACTTGTACATTTTTATTTTTTTTTCTTCTGGATAACTTGAAATCTCTTATTTTTTATTATTATTATTAATTTTTTGAGATGAAGTCTTGCTCTGCCACCCAGGCTGGAGTGCAGTGGTGTGATCTCTGCTCACTGCAACCTCCACCTCCCAGGTTTAGGTGATCAACCTCCTGAGTAGCTGGGACTACAGGTGCATGCCACCACGCCTGGCTAATTTTTGTATTTTTAATAGAGGTGGGGTTTTGCTGTGTTGGCCAGGCTGGTCTTGAAACTCCTGACCTCAGGTGATCCACCTGCCTCTGCCTCCCAAAGTGTTGGGATTACAGGCATAAGCCACTGTGCCCAGCCTCTTATTCTTAAATTAGTTTAAATATTATTTGATTTTATAGTTAGTGTCTTTCTGCTGACACTTAAAAGCATACTTGGCCGGGTGTGGTGGCTCATGCCTCTAATACCAGCACTTTGGGAGGCCAAGGTGGGCGGATTGACTGAGGTTGGGAGTTCGAGACCAGCCTGACCAACATGGAGAAAACCCATCTCTACTAAAAAAAAAAAAAAAAAAAAAAAATTAACCAGGCATGGTGGTACATGCCTGTAATCCGAACTACTCAGGAGGCTGAGGAAGGAGAAGCGCTTGAATTCGGGAGGTGGAGGTTTTGGTGAGCCAGGATTGCACCATTGCACTCCAGCCTGGGCAACAAGAAGCAAAACTCTATCTCAAAAAAAAAAAAAAAAAAAAAAAAAAGCATACTTAACCTGCTTTATCTTGTTGAAGCGAGTGGACGTGTTCTGTGGGTACCATATAATCTTTCTAATTTAACCATACTTTAGTTATGACGTTATCTGTTATTTTTGGAGAAATTCTAATTGCATGATGGAGCTACTTTTCCAGAAATTGGTTACCTCCAGTGTATACTTTGGGGGTCAGTAGAATCCTGAGAGCTGAAGGCAGATTTTACTCTTTCATTTCCTAGAGAAAAGAGCAACCTTCAGGAAACTATACCTATAGAGCAAAAGTATCGGAAACTCATTGTTACAGATGTTTTGCTATGTGCTTTGGAATGTCCAAATTATATAGCATGTGTTTAATGTTTTATTACTGGTACAGTGTTTCTCAAACTGTGGGTTGTGCCTTAATTAGTGGGTTTTGAAATTAATTGTAGTATTACAAAGCGTTAAAAAATTAAAGATCAAAATAGAATAAAAACATTGAAGTGTGTATATAGTAGTACACATTTAAATTATGTTATTTTAGCTTTATAAAGTTTTGTATAGAAATGTGAATAATTTATGGAATACATTTCTTACTATGGGTTGTGGTTAACATTTTGAAAGGCTCTACTTGGAACAGCAGCTTGGGGAAGAGTGTTTCCCGGTAGAGGAAATAAGCTAGTGCCAAGGTTCAAAGGTGGGAATATGCTTATCTTCCTTGCCTTCCCTTCCTGCCTCCCACCACTGCCTGCACCTTTTTGTATCATCTTTCTCTTCGTTTACTTTCATCTTCTCCTTTTAAAAATTTTATTTATATATATTTTTTGAGACAGAGTCATGGTCTGTCACCCACGCTGGAGTGCAGTGGCGAGATCTTGGCTCACTGCAACCTCTGCCTCCCGGGTTCAAGTGATTCTCCTGCCTGAGCCTCTTGAGTAGCTGGGATTACAAGCTACATGGTGCCTGCCACCATGCCCAGCTAATTTTTGTACTTTGAGTAGAGACAGAGTTTCACCCCGTTGGCCAGGCTGATCTTGAACTCTTGATGTCAAGTGATCCGCTGCCTTGGCCTCCCATAGTGCTAGGATTACAGGCGTGAGCCACAACGCCTGGCCTCCTTTTTTTTTTTTTTTTTTTTTTTTTTTTTTTAAAAAGGACCAAAAGAAGGCCAGTGTAGTTAGAGCATAAGGAACTAGAGGGAAGGGTGAAATGAGATGAGGTCAGTGGGCCAGTCACAGAACGCTTATACAGGCTTACTGAAGAAAGTTAAATTTTATTTTAATAAAATTGCCTGGCAAGTGGGCAACTTTTGGGGCATATGGAGAGATTCGTGTTTTTAAAAATACCACTCTAGGTTGTGGAGTGGATTATTTGTAGACAGAATAGAAGACGGACCCAGGTGTTAGAATATAGATGACAGATGATGTCACTTAAGGCAGCATGGTAGGAGCAGCAGAAATCGAGGGAAATGATTGGATTCTGGGTATATTTTGGAGGTCAGATCAGCAAGACTTGCTGGTGGATTAGCTGTAGAGTGAGGAAAATAGAGGAATCAAGGCTTGATTCTCTGAGCTGAACTAAAATGGTAAAGCAAGAGGGAGGAGCAGGTTTAAAGCAGGGAAATCAAGAGTGGTGTTTTAGAAATGTGAGATTCGAGATTCTTATTAACTATCTTAGAGGAGATATTGAGGAGCCAGTAACTGTATCACTATAAGATTTTTATGTACCTCTTTTTTTTTTTTTTTTTGAGACCGAGTTTCGCTCTTGTTGCCCAGGCTGGAGTGCAACGGCTCGATCTCGGCTTACTGCAACACTCTGCCTCCTGGGTTCAAGCAATTCTTCTGTCCCAGCCTCCTGCGTAGCTGGAATTACAGGCGTGTGCCACCACGTCCGGCTAATTTTGTATTTTTAGTAGAAACGGGGCTTCTCCATGTTGGTCAGGCTGGTCTTGAACTCCCGACCTCAGGTGATCCGCCCACCTTGGCCTTCCAAAGTTCTGGGCTTACAGGCCTGTTTCTTAACTAGTTTTAAAACTGATACTGTTCTTTTGGAATCTAAGGAATTTTCAAGCTTGAAAGAATTTCAGTCTAGTCAGTTTAGGATTTATAATGGTGATAAAATTCTGTTTATAATATTATTACATTTTAGCTATGAGATGAAATTTTTTTTTAATCATGCCACAGTATTTTTAATTATGTGTCACCCAGGGACAGACATCTGACTTGTCACCCGGGGACAAAGATCTGACATGTCACCCAGGGACCATTTCACCCACTGCTCTGTTTGGCTGCCAGTCTTTTGTCTCTCTCTTTAGCAATGGTGAGGCGGACACCCTTTCCTTGGGGAAGAGAAATCCATGGTTTGTTGCCCCTGCCAATAACAAAATTGCTGGAAAGTCGAGTGGCAAAGCTGTTGCCATTGGCATCTTTCATGTGAACCACGTCGAAAGATCAGGGTGCCTCTCTCTGTTGATAATCACACCAATTCTTCCCAGGTTAGCACTTCCAGTCACCATACACAGGTTGCCAGTGTCGAACTTGATGAAATCAGTAATCTTGCAAGTCTCTATATCAATCTGAATGGTATCATTCACCTTGATGGAGGGGATCAGGGTAGCGGATGGTGTGAGCCTCATCAGTCACCAGATGATGGATTCCTTTTGTGCCCGCAAATATTTTTCTCACTTTGCACAACTTATACTTGGCATCCTCAGGTGTAATACGATGTACAGCAAGTAACCCTTAGTGACATACATCAGACGGAAATTCTCTCCAGTCTTGTAAATGCTGGTGACATCCATGAATCCAGCAGGGTAGGTTATATCAATTTGGACCTTGCCATCAATCTTAATGAATCACTGCATGCAAATCTTCTTTGCTTCATCTCCTGTCAGGCAATACTTAAGTCTGTTCCTTAGGAAAATGATGAAGGGGAGACATTCTTTCAACTTGGGGGGACTGGTGGATGGACGATGAGCAAACACACTAGTCAGTTTATCCAGCATCAAATGCTTTGGAGCTGCTACCTGCTTCAGATGCTTCTTGGGACCACGAGCCATGGCTGTGTTAGGCAAGGAAAGCAAAATATGTTTTCAGAGTCCAGAATTTGCCTACCCAATCCCTTCTGTGTCAGATTTACATTAATTGATTTTTCTATTTGTTGTAATACTATGTATTTTTGTTTACTATCTTCACTAGTCGGAGTGGTATCTTCTGTAGATAATATTTGTGTTTTAATTTCACTAATAAATAATTAGGTGGATGGGATTTTTCCCATTCTTGTGAATTAACTGTTTTATTACCCTGAAAGCCTCTATTTGATTTTCTTTTAATCTTGAACCAATGCAAAAGTTAGCAGTACGAACAAAAGAACCATTTTCTTTTCATTTGTTTTAACAGATTTTTGTATGAGGAGCCAAGAAATGAAAGGATCCACAGATTGTGGAATGTTAGAACTAAAAAAGCCCCTTCCTCAATTTACCAGGGAGGAAATTGTGTTTTTATTCTTAATGAAAATTTGTCTTTTGTGTGTTGTTTCTCTTTGGAGTTGAAGTTCTTTGCTGAAAAGGAGAATCTATATGCAGTACTGTCCCTTGCTGCCAATTTCAGGGTTAATGTATAGTACATAAGGGAGCTAGAAAAAAAGGGGGATAGAGTTACAGAGAACTGCAGTTTTGCGACTGAAATGAAAGACAAAATATTAATATCTTCAAATGATTTGAGGAGTTCCATATACTGACTTTTCGTTGGTGTTTGGAGAAAGGACTCATTTCTTAAAATTTTCAGTTTTGAAATAGAAGCATCTGAACTGTAGACTGTAGCCTTCTCAATAATTCTAATAATACCTTAATTTGTATCACTTTCACAGACATTCTCATTTGCTTCTCAAAACTGTACTCTGAAATAGAAAGCAGATAAGGTTTCTTTTTGAAAGTGGATGAAAATAGGATTTAGAAAGGTTAGTATAGTAATTTGCCCAAGGTCACATGACAAAAGGAGAGCGTGTGCTAAGTCTTCTGATTGCTCTTTCTGGTGAACAAAGCTGCCTTTATGAAAATTGGCACCAGATTGACTTAATGTTGCTGAATTCCAAACTCAGTCCCTGAGTGTTTGTGTTGAGCCTAGAGGCTAGATTCAACAGTTGTTCTTGTTTTTTGACAGAAGTTGTTGCA